TTCTCTGGCTGTCCTACCCATCTCATCTTGATCTCTTGACAGTGTTTATTCTGTTGTTCCACTTTGAGATAATGTTGTACAAGATGGTAATAAAATAAGAATACCTCTGTTTTATGTCATCTGTTAATATTTTATCTTTTCTAGGTAATGCAGGTCTCATTCATTATTCTTTTTCTGTATATTTTGTAAGCTTTTTTTAGGGCTTGAGTTTTTTTTTTCTTTTTGTAAGACCCACTTATAGTGGGTTTTTACCTTTCTTATACTATTCTAGTGATTTTTATCTCTTGTATATCCTCAGTTATGTAGTCCTTTAATAATCTCATACTTTGCCCTGGCCGGTTTGGCTCAGCGGTTAGAGTATTGACCTGCGGTCCAGAGAGACCCAGGTTTGGTTCCCGCTAAGGACATGTACCTCGGTTGCAGTTTGTCCCCGGCCCTGGTTGGGTCATGTGGGTGGCGACCACTTGATGTGTCCCTTTCATGTCGATGTTTCTCTCTCTCTCTCTCTCCCTCCCTCCCTCCCACTCTATCTGAACAAAATATCGAAAAATGTCCTCGGGTGAGGATAAAAATAAAAATAATAAATAATAATAATCTTATACTTTTGAAATCTATTGTCCTGAAGTCTAGGGTACATAGTTCTACTCCTTTTGTTGTTTTATTCCTTTTTACAATTCTAAGGTGACATAATTTTTTTTCCTGAAATTTTTCATCCTTTTCTCAAAACGTTGATCTCTTTTACTTCACCAGCAAATTCCTGCTTTACTGTTTGGAATCAGGTTCTGAATAGCAGTTCTCTTCTTTGCACTATGGTTAAGCCTCGGCTTTGGAATCAGACAAACCTAGATCGAAGTCTAGGCTTGGCCACTTTCTAGCTATGGGGTTTTCAGCAAGTTACCTGACCTTTCTAAGTCTCCATTTCCTCTTCTGCAAACTAAGGGTACTGTGAAGATTTAAAAAGATGATTCTTGAAAAGTACGTCACTCAGAGCCAAAATCAGTACACAATAGATATCAGTTGCTACTTGTTTTCTCTGCCTTCTGAGGAGGAAAATTGTTTTTCTTAATTTAATCAACTATAATAATACTATACTCATAGCCTAGAATGTTTTCACTCCACAAAATTATACTTCAAACATTTGTTACAACAGAAACTTTGTCACTATCTCTTTCCTGCTTCTTTGCCAGCTTTGTAATTTATGTTAGAAAAGTATCACCTGGCTATGACTTTTTCTTTTTATCTTCACCCAAATGCTCTCATTATTTTGGAGGATCCTGGATGTAGTAGCTAGCTAGAGGATCTTGTCCTGGACAAAGATATGAATGTGGCAGAGTTGCCAGTTAAATACACAGATATAAGAAGAGAGATGGGGTAGAGGAGGTGGTGGATGTTGGTGAGGTGTAAGGACAGTAAACCAATTAAATACATGGTAGGTTGAACTTGGGACAGTTGTTGGTGAACAGATCAGGTAGAAGGGCCTAGTTAGTAACTGTTGGTAGACAAAAATCAGCAAAATGATGGGCCAGCTGGTATTTCATCTGAGCTCTGGATTTGATTAGCAAGTTACCAGGAATGACCTGAAAGCTGCTACTCTGGGCCCCTGACGGTCTACTGAGGTTGCAATTGTTTCATCAGTTTCTGTATACGTATATAACTTTGTGTAGATTTATTAGATAGATTTTTTTTCTTTTGAACAAGGTTTGCCCACTTGTATTCTCTTTTGAATTCAGAATCTGAGCATTGTCTAAAAATTTGTTTCCGGTGTTCAGTACATGCTATATACCAGGCATCATACCAGGCTTCAATATGTTCCTGTTTTCTACCACAGTTTCCTGACCTACACTGTCTACCAGTGAATCCACATTTAATTATTTCAGCTGTAGCCTCCCAGATATTTATAAGTACTCGTGTTACTTTATAATATATTGTAGTGGTTAAGAGCATATCTTGAGTGGTTAAGAGACTGTCTGGGTTTGCATCCCAGCTCCATCTTACTAGCTGTGGAACTATAGGCAAGTTACTTAATCTCTCCATGCCTTAGTAAAATGGGACTAACTAAAAATAAAACCTTGCACGGGGTGTTCTAAGGATTAAATACATTACCGAATGAAAAATTATTCGAGTCTGGCACATTGTATGCTGTAAATGTTAACATTAATAATATTATATGGTGACTTCTAATTCTTAGTTTTTCCGTAAGCAAACATTTGCTAAGGAGGAAGCTAAAGTTCAGAGAGCTTAAGCTACTTTTAGAAAGTGATATGCTCTTGTCTCACTTGCTAAACATGTTTTTCTTGTTTACAAAGTAAGAAAGAAGTAATATTTGTTCATAGTTGTTCACCTCTGTTTTTCACGGGAATATCAGAAGTATATTTAAAAAGGGGAGGAAGGCTTTAGAAAGATGCTGTCTGTTAGTAATGATGATAATCATTGCACAAGCATTTATGTTCCTACTAAGTACCAGGTACCGTGTTAGGAGTAAAACAGGCTAGCCTCAAAGTGTTCAGACGATGGTGAGAAAGGCAGACAAAGTGGCAGTTGTGGTATTACAGCAATAAGTATTATGATTATATCAGGTACTATAAAAATATGTAGGATGGGATTGTTAGCCAGACTTATTTGGGGGTGGGTTGTAGAGTTGGGTTGGAGGAGGAAGTAAAGCCTGATGAACTAGTCTTAAAGATGCATAAAGAGTAAGGAGAGGGAGGGTCGCCTTCCATGCAGAGAGATCACATGGACTAATGCATGCCCATATGAGAATAGTATCCCATGTGTGGGGAACAACATACATTATGGTGTGACTGTGAGGTCGAACCATATGAAATTGTCAGGTTTAAGCATTTTTACCAACAAAAATAGCAGTGTGAGGATGGAGCTGAAAAAGCAAGCAAGAGCCAGGTCAAAAGGTGCCTAATTTTATCTGATTACAAGGTGTGTGCTCTAGGATTTTCAAGTAGATAAGCATTATTTGTATTTTTTAAAAATCTGTACTTACTGTGAGTTTCATTGTATGTAAATTTTACCTCAGAGGAATAAAACTGTAAAATACTAAATTCTAGTTAATAGTAAATGCAAAGTATTTAGGTGGAAATATATTGAAATCTGCATTTTACTTTGAAATACATTAAAAAATAGGTTGGAAGTCTGGATACATGGTTAAAGTAAACAGTAAAATAATAAAATGTTAATGGTAGAATCTTGGTGGTGGTTATATATGGATGTTCACTGTACAGTTCATTCAATGTTTTTTTATATATGTTTAGATTTTTTAAAAATAAAAAATTGGGAGTTCAATCACTATAGAAAGCAAAGTCAGAAATAGATATTAAGTTAGACAAAAAGTGATTATTTTCCTAATTGATAAAAATTTTATTACTTTGGGGTAATATGTAGCGTATTTAGAAATCACCTAGTCACTACTGTATCCCTTGCACCCAGAGCAGAGCCTAGATCGTAGCAAGTGCTCAGTAAATATTTGTTGAGTATTCCCTAATCTCTGTAATCATAAAATTCTTAAAGTTATGCTTAAAGTCCCAAATATGAATGTGCTGCATATATTTTTTTTTATCCTAGGAGCCCTCATATAATGTAGTTTGATACAACACAAATGTACTAGGATGTCATATAGACTTATGCTACTAATGTGATCTTGGGAAAGTCACTTATTCATTCACCTACAAATTTTAATTACCTGTTGTGGTAGTTGCTAGGTAATTGAATCATATCATGGATGGACTGTTTATAGGTCTAACAAATTTTGGAATTTATGGTTAGGTTTCATGTGATTAATTAAAAGATACTAAGCAGAGAATGTGACATGACCATGCTAAGAATTGAAAGGGCCTAGAGCTTTTTACTCCAGATGATTTCTTCTGTAGTTTCTGATGGAAGTACTGCAATTCCATCTATTTTAAATGTGATTCTTGAAATTGTTTTGCTTTCTTTCTTAAAACAAACTATTTTGAAAGTTTTAAATATTTGCAGTCTGTAACAGTTTTATCAGAGAGGTAAGTACTGATACCCACTTTTTCTTATTTAATGAATATTTCTGTAGGAACTATATTACCTAGTTTGTGTTCAGTGTTAGGATAGTTTTTTTCCCCTTTAAAAAAGTCAATTGAAAAAATAAGGATTAGCTTGCTTACTAAGTTTTACTGTTACCATCTGCTATTCCCAACAGAGGCTTCTCTCTTTATTTAGGCTTTCTTTAGAGTAGAATGTAATTTCATAATATTTTTCTTGTCACCAAAACAAAACAAACTGAATCCCTGAAAACTGGAAATCAAAAGATCACCTTCTTGTTCACTTGTACTCCTTTTTTTTCCCCTCTTCAACCTAATAAAGGAAGATACTTTAATGTTAATAATAGATTCTGGGGTACAAAGGGGCTAGAAAATATATTTTTAATTCCACGGAACTTTCTAGTAATTGATTTGTTGGTAGGATTGGACCTGTTGTACTTTGTGTGTGAGGAATGTATGGGTTTGTGATATTTAACCACCAGTTAACCACCAATCAGTAGTCCTATTTCTAAAGCTAATTCATGTCTATATGTAAATTGGCAGAACATTTTTTTCTTTTAGGTCATATAAAGCTTTAGAATACAGATGTAATGATATTTGACGTGTACACTGACATAAATGATTATAAACAACAAAATTTAAAATGTGTTTCTTGTTAATCATAGAAAGTAATCTTGGCTGGAGAGAAAATAATTGCTTAATGGATCATCAAGAAAGTTACTATTAAATATATTATTTATTTCCTTCATTGCTTTATAAAACTTCCATGTACTAAATTTTGACTTTTGTATTAGCATATAAAGACAATCTGAAATCTTCTCATCATTCTTCCCACAGATAGTTTATTATGATTATTCATAGATAAGGAACAGAATTAATGTAATGTGTGTGTACATTTTTTAAGAGTATTTTCTTGAGTAATTTCTTAACCTTGCTTGAAAAGAATTCCCTAAAGTATTAACTCTTACTATCTTATAGATGTACTTGAGGGATACAACGGAACAATATTTGCATATGGACAGACATCCTCTGGGAAAACACACACAATGGAGGTAACATTTTGTAGTCTGTATTTGGATATAGTTTGCAGTAAAACAGTACATTCAGTCATTATTTGTGAAATAATTTTACCACACTTAAACATCTTTATTTACTCCTTTTATTTATTCTTTGCTTTCTCTCACATGAATAATACACAAATAACTTCATTGTTGAAATCTAATCAGTTTTTGAGTTTGAATAGTGATATTATATATTTTAAATCATATCTAGCTTTGTTTTATCAGATAGCATAACCAGAAAATTATGAAAATTTTAGAATAAATAGGAATCTTCTGTCACCTTATGAGAAATTTTGAGTGTTTGTATGTTTTCAGTTCTATTCAGATCAATTAATTTCTTACTCCTTTCCTTGGTCCCTCCCCCCTATATCTGCCACTCTTCTCCAATAAGAATGTCTCCATAATTATCGTTGCTCCTGTTAATAATAGATGTAGACCTGTTTGAGCTTTGCTTCTAGAAAACTTTTACCGCTGTCACAGAGCTATTACCACTGCTGCAGAGCATCTGCTTTTATCATCTATCTGAGATTACTGTTTAAAGTAAATGACAACTTATTTAATTCTCTCAACTCATTTTCATAAAGTCCAAGAACCAGGACATTTAGCATTTGCATGAATTGATTTGAAGAGGAAGATAATAATGCAGATTTATAAACAAAGAATCTAAAACCTTTTCCTAGAATATGTTCATTTACAAACATGGAAATTCTAAATCTAATGATTAAAAAGAAGGCTAAGATTAATTGGTAGTCCGTGTGGTTATACTTACATGTAACTTATCAAAGTTTTTGTATTTATTTATATACAGTATTTATATGTAACTTAGCAAAATGTGTAATAGTTGAATTGGGTTTTGTAGATACTTGTAGTGCCATTTTCACCAAAAAAAATGGCAACAATTACAATTCCTGTTTTCTATTGACTAGAAATTATACATTAAAAGTTTTAAATTTTAATTTATACTTTACAGTTTATTTAAGGAGTCTAGTTTTGTTTTCTGTTTAGGGAAAACTTCATGATCCAGAAGGCATGGGAATTATTCCAAGAATAGTGCAAGATATTTTTAATTATATTTATTCCATGGATGAAAATTTGGAATTTCATATTAAGGTAAAATTTGGGGGGAAAGACTGTATATTATTTTTATACCTAGAATAATTCTGTTCCAAAAAAAAATTACAAGTGCTAATTTTCTTTTAAAGACATTTTTTAGTACTTTGAGAATTATTTTATGGACAGATAAAGTTAAAGATCATTAGAGTTAGTAAACTTGAATTGTTCACCTGCCATTAAATGACCTTAAACAAGTCAGCCAAGTCTCCTTTGTCTTATCTTCCTTCATTGTAAAATAAAGGCATTTATTTTACTATGTAACTTAAAGGTTCTTACTACTCTAACTAGTCTAACTCATTTTAGATGAAGATATGTAATGGAAATTCCTTTTTAGTTATACAAGCAGTTTAGTGAATTTAGGTATTCTGGATAGAATATGATCTATGGCTGAGTTGTTGATAACTCTGTCCCCCTAGTCTAGATGGTTTCTGGCACTCATTTTCCAATACATATTTAATGAATAAGTGAATAAATTGTTTTATAATTTTAATTGGTTGATCTTTTTTTCTTTATTTCTTTGCTTTTTAGGTTTCATATTTTGAAATTTATTTGGATAAGATAAGGGACCTATTAGATGGTAAGTTACATTCTTGCCTTTTGATCATTTTAAAATAGAACATATTCCTTTTTTAGTAGTAGATGTGAGACCATTTCTTCATTATCCATATGAAGTTGACTTTAAAGGAAACAGACAGTTAACATTTTTTTCTTTTAAAGTTTTAGTTAAATGCCGTTTGACACATGGAATAACTTATTTAAAGCACATATTTATCAATGCTTCTTAAGTACTAACTACAGAGCATTGAACTGGAGTAGATCTGCCTGAGTTCTGATTTCTGGTCTTCTATTAGCTTTCAATTAGATACATTGTTTTGGGGCAAATCATTGAACCATTCTGGCTTATTGTTTTCATTTCTAAAATGTGGGTGGTAGAGGTTGGACTGGACCTAAAATTCTAGATTGCTGTATTGGTTTCTGTGTAAATCTACTATTTCTACAGAGTGTTATTTTAGTAGATGTTTTCATATTTTTAAAGTTTACCTATTGATATCAGGCTGCTTTGCAAAGGAAACAGTTGAAGTTCACAGCCAGTGTTAGAGTTTAGGAGTGTTGCTAATATTATTTCTTTTTCTTTTTCAGTTTCAAAGACCAACCTTTCAGTTCATGAAGATAAAAACCGAGTCCCCTATGTAAAGGTACTAATAAAATAATATAGAATGATTATTTAGAAAAGCCTTGAAATAAAAATTTGTAAGGGTATTGACATACTTTAAAAAAATTATTGTATAGGGATGCACAGAGCGTTTTGTATGTAGTCCAGATGAAGTTATGGATACCATAGATGAAGGAAAATCCAACAGACATGTAGCCGTTACAAGTAAGTCAAATATTTATTAACACTAGTTAAGGTACAAACAAAACTGCCTTAAATATCTTTATCAAATGATTAATTGTGAGATTTTTATGTTAATGCTTTAGAAATTATTAGTAAAGGAAAGCCATGTTTGTTTATAGTTGTGTAATTTCATTGCAGATATGAATGAACATAGCTCTAGGAGTCACAGTATATTTCTTATTAATGTAAAACAAGAGAACACGCAAACGGAGCAAAAGCTGAGTGGAAAACTTTATCTGGTTGATTTAGCTGGTAGTGAAAAGGTAAATTTTCATATATATATATATATATATATGTATGTATATATACCGAGCATTTTTGAGAGTTGCAAGCATTGATGTCAGTCCTTTATGATTATATAAACTGAATAATCAGTTATTTGGACCATAGTCCAATTCAACCAATAGGTGTTACCTTTGATTTAAGATGTATATTTCTATTGAGAACTTTTTTAGCTTATGTCATTATGAATTTCATTAGGTATCTTTCTCCTAATTTTTGGTATCTTTTTATTCATATTGGCAAGGGGTTCTCTATGAAAACTGGTAGCTATCCATTAGTCCTTTCTACTCTGATTGTACTTATTTTTTTCCTTTGGATAATTATTTCATTTTTATAGTCTCATATAATCTGACTCTAGTTTATGTCAAAATAGGATCAAATGTTTTCATATTGACCTCTCTGACCATTTTTGCTGTTCTACTAATTTCATTTCTTCTGATTAGAATAACATACCTGTTTACTCTCCTACTAAAAAGTCATATACATCCTTTAAAACCTGTCTCTATTTTGTAAATTCTGAGAGGTCATTTCTTCCACCAACATTGCAACATATTATTTTATCCTATCTTTAATATATGTATTTTACATTTTTAAAAAAGCAAATTTGCCTTTATATTTAAATTCAGTTTGTTTTCTAATGGTTTCATCAACATTAAAGGGTTCCTCTTGCCCAACTGGTGTGGCTCTGTGGTTGAGCATCGACCTATGTACCAAGAGATAACCGGTTTGATTCCTGATCACCTGACAGTAAACACTTGGCAAATAAGTCATGAAACTTTCATTTTCTTTCTTTTTTTTCTTGTTATTAATGACTTCTGAACTCTTTAGAAAATTCAGAGAAAATCATCTTAAAATTATTTATTTTTTTAATATGGTGGATAGGTTAGTAAAACTGGAGCTGAAGGTGCTGTGCTGGATGAAGCTAAGAACATCAACAAGTCACTTTCTGCTCTTGGAAATGTTATTTCTGCTTTGGCTGAGGGTAGTGTAAGTATATGTCTTCTATTTCCCTGTTCTTATGGGGAATTACTGAATTAATTGTGTGTGTGTGTGAGAGAGATTCATTGTGTTTGAGTCAGTACATATGAATTTGTTTTCTCTTAGAAATTTATTTTATAGTATTAGTATGTATATTCTAGTTCCCATCTTAATGTTAAACAAAATATCTGAAATCACTTTGTAGTTTTTTAAAAATAGCATTTTTATGTAATAGATATTATTATGTAGAAACCCATTGGCCTATGTTTTTTGTTTTTTTGTATGTAGACGTATGTTCCATACCGAGATAGTAAAATGACAAGAATCCTTCAAGATTCATTAGGTGGGAACTGTAGAACCACTATTGTAATTTGCTGCTCTCCATCATCATACAATGAATCTGAAACAAAATCTACACTCCTGTTTGGTCAAAGGTTTGTTCTTAAGCAAATACAAAGTCTGAACATAGATAAGCCTTTTGTTAATTAAATCTAGGAAAATATCAGGTAGAATATTACTCAAACAAGTGCCTTTTGTTAGTGTGTTAGATACAACTTTTAAATTGAGAGACGGATAGTATAAGGTCCATTTTTTTAGACTGCTTGGATTTTAATTAAGTTGTAAACATCAAAGTAAAATGATATATTTAGTCAAATTTATATGAGAAGCTTTAACTCTGCTTTAAAGAAAATAAGTATTTGGATCAGGTAATAAAATACCAGTCTGATACATATAATTGTATGTTAAACCTGTTGGCATAAGTGACAGGGTTCAAGTAATCTGTATGAGATGGTTAGTCTAAGAAAATAATGATGGCTTTATCTTTGACCTTCAACAATAATTTCTTTTATTCAACTTTGCAAATGAATTAGAAAATATAGGCCCTACGTTTTATCCTCATCAGGTTGCTGATTTTTTTTTTAAAGCTATTTACAGATGTTGAGGCTGGCTCAAATTTAGTTGGGGTATGAATAAGCACTGTACTTAATATAGCTCTTAATATTTAGTTAGAGTTAACTGGACAACAAGAGTTAAGTTAGCCATACATACATATATTACCTAGAGAAATTGGGTATCAATTGAAAATAATTTCAGTCACATTCTTTTTTTCCCCAATCACTTCTCTTAGGGCCAAAACAATTAAGAACACAGTTTGTGTCAATGTAGAGCTAACTGCGGAACAATGGAAAAAGAAGTATGAGAGAGAAAAAGAAAAAAATAAGACCCTCCGTAACACCATTCAGTGGCTTGAAAATGAACTCAACCGATGGCGTAATGGTAATAACTTAAAAATTTGTCATTTGTAGTTGTTGAATACAGATTTAGAGCTGTTTTATAAAGTTGAGATTCAGGTATGAATATAATAAAATAAAACATACCCATTTTCACTTTTTAGGTATTAGGGATCATCAAATAAAAATTAATAAAATCTTTACATTAAATTCTGATTTTACCTGAAATAATAAATACAGGCACAAAGTCCAACTTGGAAACTATAAAAGTCATAAGATGACAGGGTGCCTAGATTAGGGTAGAAGTAATAAAGATTTGATGACTAGAATACAAGTTGGGGAGAGTCAAAGGTAATTGCATCTTTTCAAATCTTAGGGACTGAGCAGATAAATTTGGTAGGAGCTGCTGAAATTGAATAAAATTGAAATTAGTTTTAGGTGAATTTTTACTAGCCCTTCTGTTGCCTTAATTTAGGAGAGACAGTGCCTATTGATGAACAGTTTGACAAAGAGAAAGCCAACTTGGAAGCTTTCACGGTGGATAAGGATATTGCTGTTAATAATGATAAACCAGCAGCCACAATTGGAGTTACTGGAAACATGACTGATGCTGAAAGAAGAAAGTGTGAAGAAGAAATTGCAAAATTGTACAAACAACTTGATGACAAGGTAGGTATTGTTCATGTTCTGTTCTGTTCTAGAATATTGCTATGGGTATTTTTATTTTCTAATTTTAATATATATTAGTTCTCATGATTTATATACATCTTCCTTGACTTCTTTAGCCTTTTGAAAATGATTGTATTAACAAAAAGAAAATCACAATTTCTGTTTCTATGCAGAAACTATATGAGGCATGTCTGTTTTTACTTTCATTTTTAAGCTAAGAGAACTTCCTAATGGAAATTTGGCATTGGATCATTGGAGAGACTTAATAAAATGGCCTCTTAGATTCAGGGGTCTGAAGACTAATAAAATACAATGTAAGAGATTAGCTAGCAGAACAGAATTGAGTGAAAATATCTTCTTCCTGCATTGATAATATCAGTAGTTTGAACAATAAATTATGAACCAAATAGAGAGGAAGGGGGAAAACAAGTAATAAGAGACCAGAAGAAAATAGTTCTAGTTTTTTTTTTGTTCTTAGGTGGTATTTTTATGTTTTTGTTTTGTTCGTTTGTTTTTTTGTTAATCCTCCTCTGAGGATATTTTTTCATTGTTTTTTTTTTTTTTTATGATAGAGTGGAAAGGGGGTAAGGAGGGAGAGAGAGAGAGAAAGAAACAGAACCATTGATGCAAGAAAGACACATCAATTGGTTGCCTCCCGTATGACCCAGCTGGGGTCTGGGACAAACCTGCAACCCATTTATATGCCCTTCACCGGGAATCGAACCCAAGACCCTTTGGTCTGAGGACCAGGGCTCTAATTACTGAGCCAAACTGGCCAGGGAATGCATTTTTATGTATTTTAAGCAGAGATGGCAGATTTGATATGGCTGCGTGGCCATTATTTTCAATAATAGCTTTACACATGTTAATTATTTTTTTTGCATTTAAATATTTAATGAATAGTTTTTTTTTTAATTTCACGATAAATATGTTTATAAGCTTTTTGTCTACTGCATGATAAGTGTTACAATTATTGATAATTGAAAGATATTACATCTATTTCATTATTAAGAGATTGGCATAAACTATGTGAAATTTGGAGAAGTGGTTTTGAAATATTTTGGTGGGGGGATAGTTATGTTTTGTGTTAGGAAACAGTTACAACCAGGTTGTGAGCTACTTGTTACATTAAAATTCTAGGATGAGGAAATTAATCAACAGAGCCAGTTGGTAGAGAAATTGAAGACACAAATGTTGGATCAGGAAGAGGTAAGTTGAATACTTTTCATATTCCCAGAAAAGCTTTATAATTTGTCATTGAAATTGAAGACACCAGTGTTGGATCAGTAAGAGGTAGTTGTATACCTTTCATATTATTTCCATAAAAACATGAAAGATAAATCTACAGAGCTCAGAATATACTAGAGTACATTAAAAGTTTTTTTAATATGTGCATGCTTCATTGTGGATATCTATGAAATTGGTATATCATATGGTTGAAGCACAGGTTGACTTCCTCTTAAGGTTTAAGGTTGAGTTCTATCTAACTGGAGGGGAGAGGATAACTTTTTAAAAAATATATTTTGTAACACACATCTACTGAATTTTTTTTTAAACTCTGGGTTCCTCTCGCTTAAAAATACAGTGCTGTTTTGTTTCCTTATTCTCCCCCAAACATTTTTTGTAATGTATTCATTGGTTTTAGAAAGAGGATGGGAGAGGAAGAGAAAATAGAAACATCAACATCGATTGGCTGTCTCCTGCATGCCCCCTGTGCTTGGGGATCAAGCCCACAACCCGGGCACATGTCCTGACCAGAAATCAAACCAGCGACCTCCTGTGCATGGGTTGATGGGTTGATGCTCAACCCCTAAGCCACACCAGCTGGGCTCTCCAAAACATTTCTTATTGATCCTTGGGAAAGACTTATTGCAGTAGGATGGAATAACTTTAGACTCCCTCTCCCTTAAGAAAAAGTACAGTGTTTACAATGGAAATTAGGGAAGGAATATTAAAAACTCAGTGTTTTATTCACTTACAGGTTAGGTCTAAAGGGATTATTGGAGAAAGAAAAGATTGATTTCTGAATCCCGTTGACTTTGTTTTTAATATTTGCATAAGTTGGGGTATGACTTTTATTGGAATGAGAATGTCAGTGAATAAAATCATTTTTTACTCCTTCACATTTCTACCCTCATCTAACCTGTTGTTCCTTTCTGCCATCTTCAAACTTTCTCCTCCATAATTTAATAACTTGGACCCTCATTTTATCTCAGCTGCAAAGCAGGGGAATAATTTTAAAAATGGTCCTTCATTGAAGGTTTGTTTTGGGGAAGGTTGGCAAAGACTGTGCGGCTTCAGTAAGAAAGACATATCCACCATTAATCAGATGTTCTTTATACTTATTTCAACTATAGCATTCTTTCTCAAAAGGGCACTAGTAGCATTTGCCTGGTTCTTTTTTGTTTGTTTACACTATTACAAATGTCCCCATTTTACTCCCCTTACCCATCTCCACTCAGCTCCAGCCCCCCTACCCCTTTCTTCTGGCCATCTGCCTAATACTTAATTATATTGTTCTGTCCTGTGCATTACAGGATTTTTAGTATCCCTGGATCCAGCTTCTAAGTGCCAGTACCATTCCACTCCATTATTAATATACCCACATATTTTCATATGCCCTTACTTAAAAGCCACTGACCCTGGATGATTGCAGTATCCTCTTAGTCTGTTGGCTTCTTTCCACTTAAGATTTTATATGCCAATACCAAGTTTTCCTGAGCTGTGGCTTAGAAGCCACTCCTTGTTGTCCCAAATCTAAACTTGAAAGCAAAATTTCTAAATATCTATTAATTTCTTTTTTTATGCACATTATTCATGAGCCTAGAATACCTTTGTCTTTCTGTTACATTAATTTGCACTTGACTAAAATCTACCTATCCTAGGCACTTTCTCCATTCCCTCTGGTTTTCCTACAAAAGTAGTATCCTCACCTCCTTTTTTATACTACCAAGCACTATGTTGTATCCTGTCCCTCTTTTATGGCTCTTACATATCATCTTGTATTCCATTTATGTAGTTGTGTTCTCATTTAGATTCCTCAATGACAGAGTTTTTATTTGATTAGATTCCATTAGGATCTAGCATAGTGCCTGCACATAGTAAACATTCAGTAAATCTGTTGAATGAATTAATATTGTTACCACACTTAATAGCATCCACATTTCCTCCCCTTTGTGCTTAGCAAATAGATTGTTTTATAACCTATATAGTACTTTTGGTAACTTTACTTTTTCATGTAGCTTCTGGCATCTACCAGAAGGGATCAAGATAATATGCAAGCTGAACTGAATCGCCTTCAGGCAGAAAATGATGCCTCTAAAGAAGAAGTAAAAGAAGTTTTACAAGCCTTGGAGGAACTTGCTGTCAACTATGATCAGAAGTCTCAGGAAGTTGAAGACAAAACTAAGGAATATGAATTACTTAGTGATGAACTGAATCAGAAATCGGTAAGATAACGTTTTTTCTTTCTTAACACTTTGGTACCTAAGTAGGTATATAGAAGGTAAAGAGAATATACCAGCCATCTAAAAATATTGGGACTTGGGGATTATGTTCAGAGTCGGAGACCTTCCACTGGCTCTGCCCCTCCCCAGCAGGTGCTACAGAGTGCTGTGGACTGGGACTGCTGGTGTCCTTCCATCTGGGCCAGGTCACCCTGTGTCCCCACGTCCCCATGCCTACCGCATGTGTTAACATTTTAGGACCGAGAGGCCCTGCTGACATTTTCTTTGCTATGCAATCATTGTCTTCTCACCTGCCTCAATAAACCTTGAAACCAAAATAAAAAATAAAAAAATAAATAAAAATAAATAGATAAATAAAAATATTCTCAATTCCATTCTAATATTAATTTGCTCAGACTTATGGCAATAAATGAATATTGAATCTAATGAATTTGGAAGTTGGCCATTTCAAGGCAAAAAACATTATCCAATTTCAAAAATTAATGAAGTACAGTGATACCTCGGTTCTCGAACGCCTTGACTTTCGACCAAATCGGTATTCGACCAGGAGATTCGAGAAACTTTTGTCTTGGAATCCGAACAAATATTTGGAACTCAAACTTCCGAGATGAGCCGAGTTGAGCCGAATGGCGTTCATTCGGCCCAGCGCGCCTTGCTTGCGTCATCAGTGTGAGTGCAGAGAGAGAGTCACGCTTTACACTGAATTTAACCCTTAGACATACTGTACACTTTTATTTCTTGTTGAGACTTATGTTTTTCTACATATTATATACAAATTAGGCCAGTAAATAGGCATTTTCTGGGGCTTGGAACAAATTAATCCAGTTTCCATTATTTCCTATTGGGTTTCATTGCTTCGGTTCTCGAACAATTTGGTTCTCGACCGTCCTGGAACGAATTATGTTCGAGAACCGAGGTATCACTGTAATACAAACTACTGTTCTTACTGGAGCACAGTATGGCAACTTTACATTGTCTATTAGGTCTAAAATATTTTTAAGTTTGAACTGGAAGCTATTTAAGGATGCAAAATAATTTTGTGAGTATTAGGTGAAAACTTGAAATACCTGTCAACATTTGAATTGATCTTTTATTTAATAGACTTAACTGTACCTTTTATTTTTGGATCTTCTAGGCAACTTTAGCAAGTATAGATGCTGAGCTTCAGAAACTTAAGGATATGACTAACCACCAGAAGAAACGAGCAGCTGAGATGATGGCATCTTTACTAAAAGACCTTGCAGAAATCGGAATTGCTGTAGGAAATAATGATGTAAAGGTAGATATAATAACCAAATATCGAGTGTAATTATCGCATGCGGCTCATACTTTTATTTACTTCTTATTTCTTTACAAAGTTCTTTTCTTACCTATTTATCTCTTCTTTGTAATAATCATGTGTGGTAGATGGATGGTATATCTTCATTTTAAACAGATGAGAAAAGGGAAGAGAATGGGGTATTCGAGTAGATGAATAATAGTAAGTAGCATTTATTTGGACTTCATGTTTAATTCTTCTACTATATAAAGATTTTGCACTTAGAAATTATGTTCATGGATTACTATACATTATGTTAATGGATTACCATACATGACAGTATATAATTGGAACAGCAGTGAAGATTAGCTCAGGGAGTAAACTCAAGTGAATTGGCCTATAGTTGCTTTAACTGTTTAAGAAGAAAAAAAAATGAGCACCACTAATTCATTTTTTTCTTTAAATTTTATTATGAAAAAGTTCAAACATAACTAAGAATAATACTGTGAAACTCAGAGTTATCAGTTATCAAAATTTGGCCACACTTATTTTTATCTATGCATTTTTCTTTTCTATTACTTCTTTTAAGGATAATAATAATGTTGGTTATGTTATCACTAGGCATGTGGTAAAAAATAAGTGACCTAGTAGATTTGAAACTTAGACCAAAAAGGTAAACTAAGACTTAACTGCAAAAACATATATATAACATGGAAAGATTTATATGTTGCAATAAGTATTTGTTTGGACTTCACATTTTTTATTAAAGCCTAATTATAGTTACACACAGAACAATTTATAATTGGGTTTATAGTGAGAGCATACTTAAAGGCCAAGTTTGACAAAAATTGGAAATGAAATAAAGGATTTCAGTATGGAGCATACATTCCTTCTTTTGGTTTTATTGGTTGTTATTCAAAGCTGTTGTTTGTTGGTGGAGGCAAGATTCTTATAACCTTTCTCCTCGTGTATTATTTGTATGTATGTATGTATGTATGTATTTATTTTTAATCCTCACCTGAGGATATTTTTCCATTGCTTTTTAGAGAGAGTGGAAGGGAAGGAGGAAGAGAGAGAAACACATCAATTATTGTTAGATTATATGTTAAGACTTAGCTGTATAAGAAACTCCCAAAGTGACTGCACCAGTGTGCATCCCCACCAGCAATGAGTGAGAGTTCCTGTTACTGCCCATTCTCACCAGTATTTGGTGTCACTGGTTTTTTGGTTTTGAGCCATTCTGAAAGACGTGTAGTGGTATCTCATTTTAATTTGCATTTGGGTTGCTTGTTTTCTTATTGTTGAGTTTTAAGAGTTATGTTTTGGATAAGTTCTTTATCAGATAGGTATTTTGCATATATTTCTCCCAGTCTATTGTTTTTCTTTTTATTCTTCTAAGTGTCTTTTACAAAGGAGAAATTTTACAAAGTCCAACTTAACCAGTTTTTTCTTTCATGGATTATGTTTCTGGTGTTGTGTCTAAAAATTCATATTCAAACTCAAGGTCACCTATATTTTCTCCTGTGTTATCTTCTAGAAGTTTTTAAATTTTGCATTTATATTTAGGTTTATGATCTGTTTGGAGTTAATTTTTCTGAAGGGTATAAAGTCTGTCAGAATTCGCCCTGGCCGGTTTGGCTCAGCGGTTAGAGCGTCCGCCTGCGGTCCTGAGAGACCCGGGTTCGGTTCCTGCTAAGGGCATGTACCTCGGTTGCAGTTTGTCCCCAGCCCTGGTCGGTTGTGCGGGTGGCAACCACTAGATGTGTTCCTTTCGCATCGATGTTTCTCTCTCTCCCTCTGTTCCTCTCTCTCCCTCCCACTCTACCTGAACAAAGGATGAAAGAATGTCCTCGGGTGAGGATAAAAATAAATAAATAAATAAATAAATAAATAAATAAATAAATAAATAAATAAATAAAAATAAAGTCTGTCAGAATTCGTTGATTTACATGGGGATGGCCACTTGTGCCAGCAGACTTGTTGTAAAGACTGTTTTTTCTCCATTGAATTGCCTTTGATCCATTGTCACAGATCAGTTGACCCTCTGCATGTGTGTATTCCTGGGCTCTATTCTGTTCCACTGATCTATTTGTCTATTCTTTTGCCAACATCACATCATTTTGATTACTGTAGCTTTATAGTAAATTTTGTAGTTGGGTAGCATTTGTCTTCCAACATTGTTCTTCTTTAATATTGTGTTGGTTATTCAGGGTCTTTTGCCTTTTCATGTAAACTTTAGAATCAGTTTGTTGATATCCACAAAGTAACTTGCTAGGATTTTTATTGAGATTAGATTAAATACATAGATCAAGTTGGGAAGAACTGATATTTTAACAGTATTGCCTTCCTGTCCATGAATGTGGAATATCTCCATCTATTTCTTTGATTTCTTTTGTCACTGTTTTATAGTTTCCCCATAAAGATCTTATACATATTATGTCACATTTATATCTAAGTGTTTCTTTTTTCTTTTTGATGCAAATGTAAATGGCAATGTGTTTTTCATTTCAAATTCTACTTGTTTAATTTTGACACTGAATGTGGTACTGGAATTTTATAATGAAAGCTACAGAATGTAGAGTGCAGTTCCTCCTTGGTGAGCTTCAAACTCATCATTTCTTTGCCAACTAAACATCCTTATCTGTTAAGTTTTACACTGGAAGTTACACATGATCAACAATAAATTTACTGAACAGAGCCTGTGAAGAGGAAATCCAAATTTTGAAACAGAATTCATCAGGGGTTTGTTTGTTAGGTGTACGTTTTTTTCTTGTAACATGTATTAGCATTAAGTTTAGAAAAGAAGGCAGGCAAACATTAAGTTCTATTTGTCCTTTATTAAAAACAATATTTAATCAAAGAAAACTCCAGACTTCCAATGAATATTGAGTAATATTAAAATATATTTAATTTTGTTCTAAGATTTTAGAGTCTTACTGGGTAAGCTTAACACACTGGGTATTTTTGTCTCTCTCTTTTTTTTTTTAACTGTTTTTTCATAGCAGCCTGAGGGAACTGGCATGATAGATGAAGAGTTCACCGTTGCAAGGCTCTACATTAGCAAAATGAAGTCAGAAGTAAAAACAATGGTAAAACGCTGCAAACAGTTAGAAAGCACACAAACTGAGAGTAACAAAAAAATGGAAGAAAATGAAAAGGAGTTAGCAGCATGCCAGCTTCGTATCTCTCAAGTATGTATTAACAAAACAGTTTTCTTTTTGTTTTGAATACCCACATATAAGTTTTATTTACTGTGAAAGTTTTAAGAAAAATGAACTTCCATAGGTAGTTTTGAGTAACAAAATAGAAAGGTTAATTTAATCAGTTTTTCCTAATTTGCTGCATTAATAGTAACATAAATGATTTAACTGGGATGTATTTGCCAACATGTATATGTTAAGTATACAGACTTACTAGAAAGATTGACTGTTGAAGAATCTAGAAGAATTCTAGGGTGGATAAAACTGCAAGGCCAGTTTTCTGGCTTTTCCAACTGAATGAAGGAGGCAATTACCAAGATAGCAATTATAGACAAAAGGGAATAATTACATATGGAGAAAACAATAAGAATATTTCTTTTTTCAGCCTTCAATGCCTTTGTTTACAAGTGTTATAAGCTATGCGATGACCATTTCATTGGTTAAATTCTTTTTCATTGTAAAATTGTCCCCTGAACATATTAGTTTTAAGTGTATTTTATGTTAATACACATCGATAAAACTTGCTTATTTTCAAATATTCTTAACAATAAAATGTGTGTGTGAGATTTTTTTTCACTTCATATCAGTACATTTTTCCCAAAAGCATGAAGCCAAAATTAAGTCATTGACTGAATACCTTCAAAATGTGGAACAAAAGAAAAGACAGCTGGAGGAATCTGTCGATTCCCTCAGTGAAGAACTAGTCCAGCTTCGAGCACAAGGTATAACTTCTAATTGTTTATGACATATGTCTATTAATTTGTCCTTTAGCGTAATTGTAGTAAACTTATATTTGCACTGATAAACAATAGTAGGAATCTGGATAACTTGGATTAGTAAACAAATAATACATTTTAATAATGCTTTGAAACATTTTTGAAGTTGTGTTTGAATATGAAAGTAGTCAATCTGGGAATTTTCCACAAAGTTATGAGATTGTAAATATATATAAAGTTTATACACAGACATATCTTGACATAAGAACTTACAAAGCGCCTTGGCCGGTTTGGCTCAGCGGTTAGAGTGTCAGCCTGTAGTCCAGAGAGACCCGGGTTCGGTTCCCGCTAAGGGGGTGTACCTTGGTTGCAGTTTGTCCCCGGCCCTGGTTGGTCGTGCGGGTGGCAGCTATTCGATGTGTCCCTTTCACTTCGATGTTTCTCTCTCTCTCTTCCTCTCTTTTCCTCCCACTTTATCTGAACAAAAAATGGAGGAAAAAAAATGTCCTCGGGTGAGGATTAAAAAAAAAAGAATTTACAGAGCTGTCTTGTTTCCCTTCTTTGCCTTAACCTATTTGTTCTGGGATTTGGTAAAGAAAATAAAGGAAACAGGATATAAAGTGTACTAGTCAGTATGTCATTGAGCTTAGCAAGATTCATTGTGTGTCATTTGGGTAGTTTAAAGTCAAGAACTGCTAAGGGACATATTCCTTGTAAAACCTATTTCTCTTTGGTATATATGAAGAACTTTAAAGGCTTATTTCCTCTCCTGTTTTCTCTCCCTATTCAAACAGAAAAAGTCCATGAAATGGAAAAGGAGCACTTAAATAAGGTTCAAACTGCAAATGAAGTTAAGGCAAGTTTGATGTAATTGGATTATAATGGCTTTCAGCCATCATTAACCTTTATTAGTCTGACTTAGTATCTTTTTCCCCCAATTATTTTAGCAAGCCGTTGAACAGCAGATCCAAAGCCACAGAGAAACTCATCAGAAACAAATCAGTAGCTTGAGAGATGAAGTTGAGGCAAAAGAAAAACTTATTACTGATCTTCACGAGTAAGTATACGTTTCTTTCCTCTAAATATTAAAAACTAACTCAGAAAGACTGTTTAGCTAAAAGGAAATAGTTGGTTACTGTTAGATAATATGTTACTAGATATCTGCATTTTTCATTGAAATTATAATTTTTGACTTGAAAAATAATATTTTTATTTATAACTTCTGAGTTCCTAGTGAAAGTATTTTGGGGGTCTTTTTTTTTTTATTTATTTTTATCCTCACCCGAGGATATTTTTCCATTTTTTGTACAGATGGAGTGGGAGGGAGAGAGAGGAAGGGAGAGAGAGAGAGAAACATCGACGTGAAGGGACACATCGAGTGGCTGCCACCTGCACGACCAACCAGGGCCGGGGACAAACTGCAACTGAAGTACGTGCCCTTAGCGGGAACCGAACCCGGGTCTCTCCGGACTGCAGGCCAACGCTCTAACCGCTGAGCCAAACTGGCCAGGGCTATTTTGGGGGTCTTTTGATGGAACTAGTCAGTAAAAAGAAAAAACGCAACTTTAACTATTATTGCAAATAGAAACCCAATCTCCTTCTAATCATTTCCTTCCTTTTAAAAAATATTCTTAACCGAGAAAATCTTTATTGGAAATTGTAGGCTTAAAATTTTTATTTTAATAGAAGTTGTCGTCTTTGTTTATCAAGAAGACATTTTTTTCCCACTTTTATAACCATATGCATATAAAAGAGAATTTATAAAAATTGGAGGACTATGTCTAAATTACGATTTAAGGAGGAAGAACCAGAGGAGCATAAAAAAATGAAGACAGTCCTGGCCGGTTTGGCTCAGCGGTGAGAGCATTGGCCTGCGGTCCAGAGAGTCCCAGGTTCGGTTTCCGCTAAGGGCATGTACCGTGGTTGCAGTTTTTCCCCCGGCCTTGGTTGGGTCGTGCAGGAGGCAGCCACTCGATGTGCCCGTTTCACGTCGATGTTTCTCTCTCTCGCTCCCACTCTATCTGAACAAAAAGTGGAAAAATGTCCTCAGTGAGGATAAAAAATAAATGAAGACAAAGTTTGGGACATTGGTCTTCCTATTGATACCTAATGGATTTAGGGACAAGGATTTGGGGAGATGAAAGATACAGAAGACTAAAATCATGGTTTCAAACCAAAATATGAGAAACATTAGTATAGTTGAAAGTATCCAGGTCATCTTACTCCATCTGTGGGGGCATGATCACAGGAAGCCTTGGTGGTTTGAATGGTGAGATTATAGAATTTAAGAATTTGAAAAGTCTTCTGATAAACCTTGGGGCGGGGGAGAGATAAACCAAAGAATTTATATGTATAACCAATGGACATAGACAACAATTGGGGGTGGGGTTGAGAGGAGGATGTCAGTGGGGGGAAAAAGGAGAAACATCTTTATAACATTAATAAATTAATAATAAAACAAAAGAGTTTGAAAAGTCTTAATGACAACATTCAGAACACGTTGTTGATGTTACGATGTTTTTCTTTTCTTTTGTCAGCCAAAACCAGAAAATGATGTTAGAGCAGGAACGTCTCAGAGTAGAACATGAGAAGTTGAAAGCTACAGATCAGGAAAAGAGCAGAAAACTACATGAACTTACGTGAGTAAATGTTTTAATTTAAGTTTTAAATTAAAAACTAAATTAGATGATTGTGGGCATTCTTATCAGATATATCCAGTGGATACATTTTTTTCACTTTGTATAAGATAAAGAATGTTTTTCTTCATTGGTTTGATTTATACCTAAAAACTCAGTGTATTCTTATGTCAGTATTATAATTTTTCACATACCTTGATTTTATGAGAGATAACTTGTAAGTGAACTGCTATTGTTAGAATGGTAACATTATCAGGACCAGCTCAGAGTTGATTTTATAAATATTCTGCTGAATCTAAGCCATAATTTATTGAGAATAATTTTAAATAAAATATGTAGACTATTTAAATTTTCAGTAATTTACTTTAAAGCTTTATTTACTGATTTTATTTTTTTTTTTTTTTTTTTTTTTGGCCTTATTAAAAAAACTTGCATTTATTGAGCAGTTATTCTATATCAGATATATAGCAAAAAAGGTTTCAGTTATATTATCTTATTTAATCTTAATGTAACCTCTTGAGATAGGTATTAGCCAGGATGTCTTTATCTATCTATCTATCTATCTATCTATCTATCTATCTATTTTTTTTTCCCACATCTTTATTGTTGGATGTAAAATGTATTACAGATGTTCCACAGTTTTCCCCCATTGACCCCCTCCTCCCCACTCCCGCCCCCCTCCCACCTTTTCCCATACTATTGTCCGTGTCCATTGGTTATGCATATAAGTTCTTTGGTTTATTTCTTCCCACCCCCCCAACCCCGTTCCCTTTGAGGTTTGTCAGTCTAGCAATGAATTTGTGCTTCTTAATCCCTTCACCTTTTTCATCCATTCCCCCAACCCCTTTCCCAACTGGCAACCAACAAAATATTCTCTGTATCTATGAGAATGTTCCTGTTCTTCCTGTTCATTTTGTTTGTAGATTCCATTGTTGATAGATATGTATTCATTGCCATTTTGTTTGTTCCTACATTTTATCTTTTTCTTTAAAAAGACCCTTCATCATTTCATATAATAACGGTTTGGTAGTGATGAACTCCTTTAACTTTTTCTTGTCTGGGAAAGTTTTTATATGTCCATCGATTCTAAATGACAGCTTTGCAGGATAGAGTAATTTTGGTTGTAGGTTCTTGGTTTTCATCACTCTGAATATTTCTTGCCACTCCCTTCTGGCCTGCAAAGTTTCTTTTGAGAAATCAGCTGACAGCCTAGTGGGAACTCCCTTGTAGGTAACTAGCTGCCTTTCTCTTGCTGCTTTTAGGATTCTCTCTTTGTCTTGAACCTTTTGCATTTTGATGATGATGTGTCTTGGTGTGGGCCTCTTGGGGTTCATCTTGTTTGGGACTCTCTGTGCTTCCTGGACTTGTATGTCTGTTTCCTTCACCAAGTTAGGAAAGTTTTCTGCCATGATTGTTTCAAACAGGTTTTCGATTTCTTGTTCTCTCTCTTCTCCTTCCGGCACCCCCAAGATGCGAATGTTGGCACGCTTGAAGTTGTCCCAGAGGCTCCTTACACTATCCTCATTTTTTTGGATTCTTTTTTCTTTTTGCTGTTCTGGTTGGGCGTTTTTTGCTTCCTTATATTCCAAATCGATGTTTTGCTCCTTGGATTTACGTACTCTATTATTGAAGCTATGTAAATTATTCTTTATTTCAGTTAAAGCCTCCTTCGTTTCTAACTGTGCAGCGATCATTTCTGACTGGTACTTTTTTATGCTCTTGAGGCCCTCACTGAGTTCATTGAGCATCCTTATAAGCAGTATTTTGAACTCAGCATCTGTTAGGTTGCTTATCTCCATTTCGCTTAGTTCTTTTCTTGGGGTTTTGTTCTGTTCTTTCATTTGGGACCTGTTTCTTTGTATCCTCATTTTACTGCCTCCCTGTGTTTGTTTCTGTGTATTACTTAATGAGAGGTATGGGGCTCGCTGAGACCCGATGCTGCTCGTTTGAAAGAATTTAGGAAAAACCTGAAGCAGGATCCAAGACAGGCCAATCCTATGGTTAAGCAAGTAGCAACAGCTTGGGTGGGCCTGAAAGTTGGGTGGGGCGGGGCCTCAGGGAGTCAGCAGGGCGGGGCTACCAGTGTGAGCCAGGTTGCAGGAGTCCCAGATATGGTGGCTGTCTGCAGCCCCAGGGAAGGGCTCACCAAAGGAACAAAGGCCTCTGACAGCACGTTTGTCCCCGAGAAAGCCCCCTCTCCAGCCCTCGCTCCAGTGCCAAACAGCTCAGTTCCTCCCTGTATTTCTCTGGTGCCCCTGGAGCTGCCTCCCCTCCGAGCTTAGAGGGAGAGAGTCCGGTAAGTCCGTGCGCGGGCCCTTTAGGGAGCTGCCTGTGGCTCCAGCCAGGTCAGCTTCCCTGAGCCTCAGTTTCTGCTGGTTTTTCCAGCCAGAAGTTATGGGGACTTCTCTTCCTGGCACTGGAAACCTGAGCGGGGCACCTGGTGTGGGACGGGGACCCCTCAGTCCTCAGGAAGGACCTTCCCAGCCTCGGGAGCCTCCTGATTTTTATCTGCCACACTTGGGTGTGGGACCAGCCCGTCGCGCCGCCGCCCCTCCTACCAGTCTGGATGTAGCTGCCTTTTTTTTAAATTCCGTAGTTGTAGGACTTCCATTCAGCTTGATTTCAGGCGGTTTTGGATGATGGTTGTTCTGTAGTTTTGTTGTAACTTGGATGTGGTTGTGGGAGAACGCGATACTGCGTTTCCCTACGTCGCCATCTTGACCGGAAGTTCTATTTACTGATTTTAAAGAGAACAGAACAGAGAGGGGGGGGGGAAACATTGATTGTTGTTCAACTTATTTATGCATTCATTGGTTGTTTCTTGTGTATGTACCCTGACTAGAGATCTTAACCTGCAATCTTGGCCTATGGGGATGAGCTCTAACCAACTGAGCTACCTGGCCAGCACTTCAGTAATGTATAATCTCTGTAATTTCCGGTTAATCAGAATTAGATGGATAAAAGCAGTATGTTGTATGTGACATATTATAAAATATAAAGAAGAAAAAATAAAAATAAATAAATAAATAAAATATGAAGAAGAACCACTCCTTATTCTTTGGATTCTGCCACATTTTATTTTATCTCTTCCATTGCTATATAGGAGAGTTTTCTTCTAATAATGGATTTAGGAGTTATGAAGCATTGTAAAAATTTATTTGAATTTAAGAATTGATTCTTTCAGATAAATATTTGCTTCAACTCTTGTGCTAAATAAAACTAGAATTTTATGGCTTCAAATTTGAAAATATAAATGTATATTCCTCCTCTGTCTAGGATTATGCAAGATAGACGAGAACAGGCAAGGCAAGACTTGAAGGGTTTGGAAGAGACAGTGGTAAGAAAAACTTGAAAATAAATAGGATTGGGGAATGTTTAATGCTTCCCACCTCCCCACTCCCCCTTGGTTATACTAAATTTGAAATCTGAACTCCAGAAATACTGCTGTTCTTAATTCAAGGCAAAAGAACTTCAGACTTTGCACAACCTGCGGAAGCTCTTCGTTCAGGACCTAGCCACCAGAGTTAAAAAGGTAGTAAAACTATACTGAGGTGTGGGTATTTGTATAAACGGTGCCTATGGTGTGTAATTCTTTGCATGCATAAGTGAAATAATTTTATATTGGCATCATTTTTTTTAAATTAGAGTTTTTTAAATCTTTAAATTTGTTCATAGTATTCATTGACTTTCTTAGAGTGCGGAGATCGATTCTGATGACACTGGAGGCAGTGCTGCTCAGAAGCAAAAAATCTCCTTTCTTGAAAATAATCTTGAACAACTCACTAAAGTGCACAAACAGGTAATAAGGAATATATTTTGTGATAGCTGCAACACTGTAAGAAAAAAAATTGAGGACCCATTCCATTATTTCATCAAGCACTTACATAAAGAAACCACTAGCAATTTTTAGGGAAGTTATATTTTTAACAGCCCTTTTATCAAAAGGCCAATGAAAACCTTTCTGGGATTTCAGGTCTCTCAATTTTCTTAATTTATTCATGGTGATTAAAATATCTCTGGTAGAGACATGGATGTGGGGTAGAGACTGACAAACCTCAGAAGGTGGGGGTGGGGGGAGGGAAAAGTTAGACCACAGAGCTTATATGCATGTATGTGTAACCAGTGGACGTAGGCAACTATGCTGGGTGGGAGTTGGGGATTGGGAGGAAGGTGTCAATGAGGGAAAAAGGAGAACCATCTGTAACAAAAATAAACTAATAAAAAAAATAAAAAAATAAATAAAATATCTCTGGTAATCAGTCTTTGCAGCTGAAATACAAATTTTTTTGTCCTTTTACATTTAATGCCCTGAGGGTAAAAATATATACTATCATGAGGCAGTTCATATTTTCTTTAAGGTAATACTATGTCTTATTTTTAATTGTGGTTTGATAAATTATTTAATTATTTATAAACCTATTTCTTAACACACTAAATTATATATCTTTGTTATTATATACCTGGATATTTACAGTAGATATTTGCACTAGAGTAAGGTTAAAGAAATTGTAGCATTTTTTGCTTTCAAAACTATTATTAAGGGGTATGCTAAATGTAATGTGTATTTGTAGATCTAAAAGGGTACTCATTTCCACCAGATTAGTATCTTACTGAAGAGACCTAACACTGTTCTAACAATAAGAGCACCTCTCACCCCAGATTTAAATGAAATTATATCTTTGTGAGAATATATGTGTATGGTATGTATAGATATATGTATTCTTGCTTGTTACTGCCTATATTAAGTTAGCTAATTGGAAAACAATATAAAATGTATTTTTACTTCTTTTCTAAAGAGAAATTATTAACTACATATTTTCTAAATCATTTTGTTAAAGCTAGAATCCTAATTTTCTTTATGTACCTTTAGTTGGTACGTGATAATGCAGATCTTCGTTGTGAACTTCCTAAGTTGGAAAAACGACTGAGAGCTACAGCTGAAAGAGTGAAAGCTCTGGAGTCAGCACTGAAAGAAGCCAAAGAAAATGCATCTCGTGATCGCAAACGCTATCAGCAAGAAGTAGATCGTATTAAGGAGGCAGTCAGGTCAAAGAATATGGCCAGAAGAGGGCATTCTGCACAAATTGGTTAGTAGAACACATAAAAATCTTTAAACCTTACTTGATTAGAATGTTTTTGTTTACTGAAAACATAATCTAATTTGTTAATTATATGTGGTAATGGTGGTATTTGTCTGTCTTTATTTTATAACTTTTCCAAAGAGTGGCATTGTTGGGAAAGCAGCACAAAGTTAAGGAATAACCACATTAAGAGGACAAGAAGATAAATGAGCTAGAAAGCAAGCAAGAATGGTCAAGGATAGGAGATAAATTATATTAAGTAATGTTATTAAAGGAAAAAGAATTAACTAGAAAATAAGTCATCAGCAGTATTTCATGCTTTAGAATAATCATTGATGTAGGAGTAAGGAAGGTGTTAAAGGGGCTAAGGATTGTGTAGGTTCTGGAGGAAAAAGTATGTAACTGAAAAGAGTAATTTAATGAGAATCAAAAAGGCAGAGAAAAACAAAATACTTAAGAGTTTATTGTAAATAAAGAGAAGAGACCTAAAAAGTTGTTACAGCCATGTATTAAGATTTATTCTGAAGACATTTTTGGTTTTTTTGTATTAGCTAAACCTATTCGACCTGGGCAACATCCAGCAGCTTCTCCAACTCATCCAAGTGCAATTCGTGGAGGAGGTGCAGTTACTCAGAACAGCCAGCCAGTGGCACTACGAGGTGGAGGAGGCAAACAAGTGTAAGCGTTACACATTACCTACAGGTTTGTAATTTTTATCTGGCTTTTGAATTATAACTAAATGGAATTGTTCAACCGTTGGTTGTTAAACACTTTTTGGATTCTCACATTAGTGTTTTTATTGATTGATTTTTAAGGAGAGGGAGAGAGAAACATCCATGTGAGCATGAAACATCAATCAGCACACCCACTATGGGGGATTGAGCCTGCAACTTGGGCATGTGCCCTGACTGGGAATCAAACCAACAACCTCCTGGTGCATGGGACAATGCCCATCCAATTGAGGCACACCTGCCAGGGCAGTGCCATGATTTTTTTAATATCCATAATTATAAAAGTAACTTGGCATAATTTCTCCTAGTCTTTCTTCATAACTCATACATATTCAAATACTATATATTCAAATTTATGTTCTTAAACTAAAATTGGGCCATTTGAAAAAGATACTGCTATTCTGTCTAATAGATATACCATGGTTTATAACTATTTCCTTTTGCTGGGCATGTAATTAAGTATGTTAATTTTTTTCATACTTGAAATTTTCATATATGAAATTTGAAGTGTGAAAATTGTTTTACACCCCCTTACCTTTTAGATTCTTTTTAGAAGATTCTCCAAAGTGGAATTACAAGAAGTGTGAACATTTTAAGGCTCTTGAAATATTGCACCAAGTTGCATATTAGCCAAGGATACTATTCGTTTTCTTGTATCTTTGCAAGCATTTAATGTTAGTAGTTTTGTTTTTTTTTTTCTTTATTGATTTTAGAGAGAGAGGAAGGTAGAGAGGGAGAGAGATAGAAACACTGATGATAAAACATCGATTGGCTGCTTCCTGCATACTGCCACTGGGATTTGGCCTACAACTTGGGCATGTGCCCTGACCGGAAATCGAACTGGCGTCCTCTTGCTGCACTGAGCCACACCAGCTGGGCTAAATGTTGATAGTTTTTAAGTTTCTAATGTGATAGACTAGCATAAGAATTTCATTGATGTATTAATGAAGTTAAATTTTTTTCCCTATATTTATTTATTTATATAAGTTTTAAATTAAAAGATTTAAACCATAGATAAATATTCTAAGCATACTATGTATATTCCATATATGCCACTTTGTAGCCTGCTTCTTTATCTTTGTAATATATTCTGAACATTTTTTTTCTACAACCTGATTGACTAGTTAATAGCTGTCTAATATTTCATCATATGGCAGGAAATCAGATTTTAATTCTTTAGGAAATTCTAGATGTGCAGGTGTTTTGGAAACTAAAAATACTAGATAATTATGATGCTTATCTTTTTCTGACAGATATTAAAATCACTTTATTTTAATCTTTCTTTTTTTTTACTTTGACATTTTGCATAACCTTGGCTCTAAATTTTAATGGAGAATTAAGCAATATTCTGGAGGATTCACATTACAAGCAGTTTAATATAATTTTTTGTCCCCACTGTAGGATTTCAAAAACAGTGATAAAGTGAAAAGAGATCAAATATTTAAGGTCTGAGTTTGAATCCTGACTTTTCCACTTTCATGAACTTAAGCAAGTTACTTTTAAAATAATTTCTTTCTCATTTTGACTCCTTTTAAAATTATTTAGTGTAAAATTAGTTTTGCGTTCACAACCTATTTAATATATCTCTGAAACATAACATTTTTCTTCATAGCCACTATAACATTATCAACAAAATATTGTTAAACATCTAACGAAATATTTGTAATATTATCTAATACCAATGTATATTCAGATTTCTCAATTTTCAAAAGTTCTTTAACCAAACCAGTGATTTTCAACCTTTGTAATCCCATGGTACACATAAACTAATTACTAAAATTCTGCGGCACACCAAAAAATACTCTTTGACAATCTGACCCAAAAAAATAGGTGTAATTTTGATTCATTCACACCAGGTGGCTATTGCTGTTTTGGCTGTTGTTATTTTTTTTTAATTTGACAGTTTAAGGGAAAAGAGGTCAGTGCCCCTGACTAAATAGTTACATGTTTTAAAAATTCCTGTGGCACACTGGTTGAAAATCACTGGTCTTAAACCAAAGTACAATTCAGGGGTGCTGTTTATATTTGGTTATATAAGTGTCTTATAGAATAAACTCCTTTTTAGAAGACACTGACTTAGTGAAGAGACTATGCTGATAATTTTGAGCAAATGCCACCTTCTACATGAATGATTGTTTCTGTGTGCACTTACTTTGTTCTATTCTATGCCCCATATATTTGAAAGCATTTATTAGATTTAGCGCAAACATTTTTAACAAGAAGATTACATGGTAGGTAATATGTGCTTAATATTGTGTTAAATTAAATGTTAGCTAGGTTTTTTTACCAGTTAGGGATGGCTTCTGTTTTCCCCCTTTGGGGTACAGTAAGTTCTCACTAATGTCATAAATAGGTTCTGTGACGTTAAGCAAAACTATGAAACCAGTTTTAACTAACACTGGCTGATTGGTATAAATAAGAGTTAAGTTTCTACAGCGCCTCATCAATATTATAACGAAACAATGTTGACCAAAATGATGTTGTTCAAGGACCTGCTGTACTTTTGAGCCCCTTTATTAGTAAAATGGAAGTCATTTTTAAGAATAACACAAGTTGCCCTGGCCGCTTTGGCTCAGCGGTTAGATCCTCGGCCTGCGGTCCGGAGGAGAGACCCGGGTTCGGTTCCCGCTAAGGGCACAGACCTCGGTTGCAGTTTGTCCCTGGCCCTCGTTGGGTCGGGTGGGTGGCAGCCACTCGATGTGTCCCTTTCACATCGATGTTTCTCCCCCCCCCCCCCCCCAACCCGTTCTCGTTCTCTCTTCCTTCCACTCTATCTCAACAAAATATTTAAAAAGGTCCCCTGGTGAGGATTAAAAAAAAAAAAAGGAAAATACCCTAGGCTGAGGATTAATGGCGGCGGCAGCAGCAGCAGCAGCAGCAAAAGAATGACTGGGGGAAAAAAAAAAAAAGAATAACACAAGTTAAAATGTCATTACTTAATACAGAGAAGGTCCTTTTCTGGAAGTGGAAGGTGGGCAAGGGGCTTTTTAAAAATGTGAATATGCATATGAATGAAAGTTTATCCTTTTTGGATATTGTGCTCAGATTAACATTCGTATATAAACTTTGAACTCATATCTCATTAGCAGAGAAGATAGTCCATGGCCTTTCTTAAATATGTTCTCTCTTGGCCTGCTGGGATCGATGCAACGCAATGAAACTACAAGCACATGCTGCTTGCAGTGAGGGGAAGCTTTGCAAGGTAGCAAATGCTCCAGATCTCTGGATGCAGTCCCATTTATTTGCAGATTGGTACCCCCAGGTCACAAGTGGATTTAAGTAAATTATTTCCTTGAGATTGCATTAATACATACACCCTAGCTTTGTCTCTTGCTTTTTACGGGAAGAGACCTTGAAGCCAAAAGATAACAAACCCTTATTCACAAGCAAATGAAGTACCCAATACAACAGTGTGGGCCAGGTTTCCCTCTGGGCTAGGATTCCGAGATTGCATTAATACAAGGTTGAGAGTGTTTAACACAAGGTTAAAAAATGTCCATCTTCCAACCCCCCAACCCCATAAAATATAGCTAGGTTTTAGCTCAAGTAGAATGCTGATCCCAGTGTGATATGGCAGTTTAACACATGAGGGAGATAGCTAACCTCGTTTACCTAGGTTTTCAAGACCTGAAGTAATTATAAAAGTATAAAATTTACAGGTTTGTCTCGTTGCTGGTCCAAAGATAGTAGTTATTTTTTTAAACTCTTCAATCATTCAATCTTAAACCATGATTGAGGAGCATGTAATCTGCTTATGTGATAAATTAGTGAAAAATTAAAAACTGTAGAGAATTTGTTTAATTATTAAGAAAAACATTTCAAAACACTGGGTTTATTTTTGGGAACCATGGCATTGTATTAATAATACTCATACCTTTAGTACCCAATGTTACATGGCTGGTCTTCTAGTTTATAGTAATACTTTGAAAGTTGAATTTGTCTAAACATAGGTAAGTAGTTCAATACAAGGATGCCTCTAGGTAACAACTACTGAAATTATTTCTTTTACTGTGGCTTTTCTACCGTATACCTATCCTTCTACCTCTCTTTCTTTCTTTTTTTATATAGCCACTATGTATATAATGTTGCCCATTAATGGTCCTTTGCTTAAGAATGTCACTGACACTGTCTGCGTCTTTTTTATCTTTTTAAAAATATATGTGTGTATATATATAATTCATACATCAGCTTACTCATAGCTCTCTTGGGAAGAATAAAAACAAATGAAGCCCTGACTGGTTTGTCTCAGCGGTTAGAGTGCCAACCCTCAGACCTAAGGGTTGTGGGTTTGATTCCTGGCCAAGGGCACATAACCTGGGTTGTAGGTTCAATTCCGGCCCTGATTGGGATCCTACAGGAGGCAGCTAATTGATGTCTCTCTCTCACATTGATGTTTCTCTCTCTCCCTTCCTCCCTCCTTCCCATTCTCTCTAAAAATCAATGGAAAAACATCCTCAGGTGAGGAGATGAGGATTAACAAAATAAATGAAGGGCTGACCTCTTTTTTTTTTTTTAATCCTCACCTGAGGATATTTTTCCATTTTTGTTCAGATAAGAGTGGGAGGGAGGAGGAGGAGGAAGAGAGAGAGAGAAACATTGTTGCCTCCCACACAACCCCACAACCAAGGTACATGCCCTTGACCGGAATTGAACCCACAACTCATTGGTCCACAAGCCAATGCCCTAATTTCCGAGCCAAACTGGCCAGGGCAGCTGACCTCTTTTTAAACTTTGTATTGCTCATAGTAGCTCTACTTAGGAAGTAAAGTAAAGGAGAAGAAATCAAATCATTTAAACTATTGGTATATTTTATTTTACTTCATTTCTTTCACGATTATTTCAAACACAAGCTTTATGCAAATAAAAATATTTTCTCTGTGCTATCTCCTGTTCTTAGGTGTTGAAAGTAATTGAAGTATGAAGAGGACACAATGTCAAGCAGAGTCGAGTCATTCAGTGACTATAACCTTTACCCCCTGGGAATTGTAGAATTATAGTGTTTTTAAATGTATAAATTATACCTGACCTGTACAGCTGTTTCCTGCCCACTTTTCTCGTAAACTCTGCTGCTTCCCAACACAACTAGAGTGCAATTTTGGTGTCTTAGGGAAAAATGACAGTTTACAACTGTGGCCCTATTTATTACACAGTTTGTCTTTTGTATCTTAAATTTAGTCTTCACTGTGCCAAGCTAACTGTACCATATAGGATTGTGGTTTTTGTCCTTGTTTCTTTGTGTGTGTTTATTTTTTAATCTCAGATTACCTAGCTGCTACCGCTTATTATTTTTCTTATTCAAATCAAAGTGTCTTCCTTATTTTAGGGGAAATGAAACATTTAGATTAAATGTCTTAAATTTTACCACTTACACTACATGCCCACAAAATATATCGGGTCAGTACTTGATTTCAGAGTCAAATTTATTTTTATCCTCTCTGATGTTTGCTTTTGAAAACTACTGTTTGAGCACTGAAACCATAAAACTGCCTAAGCAGGCATTTGAGACTGAGCAAGGCTATATAATTGTTATCTCATGAAATGCCTGTTGCTGAATTTTCTTGAATAGAAATATTTTACAGTATCAGAAACAAATCTTAGTGTGAATTTGGAAAAGGAATTATATTTACATTTTTCCCAATTCTATAACCAACATAGCTTGATGGAATAAAAATACACTGCTTCATTCTGGTGAGCCTTCTAGTTAATATGAAAATTGAACAGATATTATTTGTCCACTTAAAATAGTAAAGTGAATTGAAATATTACAGGATTAAATATAATTTTATATTGTTAGTACTCTATTGGTTGATCTGAATTTATAGTCTGTGGAAATTTAGGAAAAAAAGTGGAAGAGCCAGACAAATATATGGTGAATTTATAAATATGTAGGTAAATTGTGATCTCAAATCCTTGAGGTATTTTTAACTTGCTACACTAAGTCATACCCGGTAATTTATTTCTTATTTAGCCTAGAAATAGTAAATTATTTGCAAGTCGCTAAGAATCTTCAAATAAATTATTTTATTGGTTATAACCCATAATTTTATAACTAGTACTAAGTGTACTTGTTTTTTCCACTTCTTCCTCAGATGATTAAACTAAGACAACAGTTTTTTTTAGGAAGCTATAAAAGTAATAGTGAAAGAGATTTAAATATTTGCTTCATCAATGGGGTGGTGACTGCAACTGTGTTAGTGGAAATTTGCAGAGAATGGGGTTGTAAGGGTAGAGAACCTTGGAAAGTTCTGTGTTAGGATCTGGCTGGCAGAATTAACTTTTTGAAGAAGTTTTATACACAGATATTTGTAATAAATTTGGAGCCATAGTCAGAAGACTCAGATCATAATTGGCTTATTTTTCTATTTCCTTAACTATTGTAATTTCCACTTTTATATAATTTTTGATTTAAAAGATAAATTTATTTATTTATTTTTTTAACAGTAAAAACCTTTGCTGTTGTAGTCTGCAGCCTTTAAAATAATTGTGTTGCTTTTAGGATTGTTCAGAAGAAACACTCTAAAAATTGAAATGAAATCCTGGTGCAGCAAGATTAAAGTAATGCAGTTAACTAAAAAAAAAAAAATAGTGTTACAGCTTATTATTTATGATGATACTTTTCTAAATTGAGAAATGTTTAGCTTCATTTACATAGACATTTACATTCTGTTTTCAGATCAGAACGCTTTGACAATATTCATAAATGAAGCGAATTTTTTCCTCTTGTCTGAATATGGTAGTTTCATTTTTGTTAGATATAGCACAGGAGTTGGTGCTGTGTAACAATGAATTGTAACTAGCATGTGGTTCAGAACATATGTTAAGTTTTTAAAAATATAAGTGTTTTTTTTTTATTTATAATTTCAAACTTTCACAAAGTATACAGAGAATCTCATAAATTTGTTTTTAGTAAACTGTGCTATAGGTTAGCAAATATAGCGTTTACTCTTACAAATGAAAATTTCTGATTATCTAGAACATTGACATTTTAATTTGCACCGTCTTTTTTTTTTTTTTTTTACTGAATATATTAATGTTCCTCTGAATGGTATTGATAAATGGTTCAGAAGAGAAACTCAGTAAAATAAAAGTAATATTTATTCATGGTAATCAATTAAATTATTTGCCTAACTTAAGAAAACTAGTATGTTTAACTCAATTTGACACAAGGTGATAGAAGAGTCTGAGACCTGTGGGATATGTTGGTTTATTTTCAGTGCTTGAAGATAAATGCAAAGATACTGATTTGGGAAGATGCGATATAATTTTAAGTTTTACTTTAACCTGCATGCTGTAAATGTGTTTTATGTTTAAATAAAAGAGGAAAAACTTTTTGGAATGTAATGACTTTTTAAAAACTTAAAGTATTAGGTTGAGTTTTATATAGCTCATTGGCCTTTTGTCATGACAGAATAGTGACTAATGTATGTCATATTCATGTATATTTTGCTTCCTAATGTATTGCGTATTCTTTGGACAGCAGGTATTAAATATGTAGGCTGAAGGATTTGAGAGCAAGAAATTAATTGTTGGTTTTACAGTGTTATTTCATTTTAGTGGAGTTTACATGGTTCTGTTCATCTGAACCTGATTTATTAACATAGAAGCTTTAAAGTATTTCAGTACTTCCTCAATGGTCATTCAGGTCTAGCTGGAGAAAACTTAAAACACTTCCTAAATTCTAACAATGATTGGGTTCTTAAAAATCTTTTAAAATTATTTATTATGGAAAATTTTAACTGTATATGAAAGTAGACAGTAAATAATGAAGCTCCAAGTACCTATCAATTTCAAGTTATCAACTCATAGCTAATCTTGTTTCATCCATAGCCCTACTCTTGTGCACATACCCCATATTATTTTGAAGCAGTCCCAGATATCATATGCTTTTATTCATAAATATTTAAGTATGTATTTTTAAATATATACTCCTTAAAAACATACAGTAAAATACCATTATCACAAAAAAAATGACAATTTCCTAAACAAAATTTCAATTTCTTGTATAAACAATTTGAATCGTGATCCAGCTAAAATCCATATATTACAATATAGTTCCCCTCCGTCTATTTTTCAACTTTTTTCCTTCAATTAATTTATAAAGAAAACAAGGTTATTTGTCCTGCAGAGTTTCCCGGATTTTGCTAATTACATACCTTTGATATCATTTAACATACATCTCTGTCCTTTGGTATTTCCTATAAATTCACATTTGGATTCACAGATTTAATCAGATTCATATTTTTGTTTTGTTGGGGGGGGCAGTATCACCTCATAGGTGATGGTATTCCTCCATCACGTGGCACGTAATGTCTAGTTGCATGGGACTACTGTATAAATAAAGAATCCCACTTCGCGGAAATTCATTTATTGTGGTAGAGTCTGGAACTGATTAACTGCGATAAACGAGTGCTGACTGTATTAGCCACCATTGATGTTCAGAACACCTAATCCATTGATTTATCAAAGGCTTAAAGAGGGCAACATTCCAATTCTATCATTCCTTCATTGTTAGCAGCAGTAGAGAAACTTGCCCTCATCCACTATTTGGCTACTAGTAGTGTAGCATATAGAGTAAAAAAGGACAAATGCTTGATTCTTTCCCTGAATTTACAAGTTTCCAAATAGTTCCTTCATGATTTTCCAATGGTGACCAGTTGTGCATTTTCTCCTATGTTTTTGTTTTTTATTTGGTTACTTTACATGTGCTCTATGAGCCTCCACGTCTCTTTTTTTTTCCTCTGGAGAAGTTTAAACAGAATCTCAAAGTTTATCTCCCATTCCCACTCTTTGGTAACATTACCAAGGCCTCCAGTGTGCTAGCCACTTTTGGCTCAGTAATTTCAATCCTGTCAACATTCTATGGAATGACCAGCTATCCGCATCTCTTCACACTATTATGGCAGGTAGGAGAGTTAACACGGCCCTGGGCCAAAATTATGCATGTGTGTCGTTTGCTACATGTTAATGTGAACTGCTTTTGTTCCTTTTGTAATGTGATAAGCACATTTACTCTTAGCTGGCAGTGTGAGAAGGGACAACAGTTGCAGAGGCTTCTGTATGGCCTCTTGACAGCCTGTATCCCACGGGCTAACGATGCATGTATGGAGTCATGGCATTTAATAAGTATGTCAGCTCTAGTTATACATAGACAGAAATGACCACCAGATGGGTCCACAAAACATATGCTCTTTATTTTTTATCCTCACCCAAGGACATTTTTTTCATTTTTTGTTCAGACAGCAGGAGGGGAAGAGAGGAAGAGAAACATCGACATAAAAGGGACACGTTGAGTGGTTGCCACCCACACCACCCAACCAGGGCCAGGGACAAACTGCAACCAAGGTACATGCCCTTAGCAGGAACCAAACTCAGGTCTCTGGACTGCAGGCCAATGCTCTTAACCGCTGAGCCAAACCAGCAGGGCAGCATATGCTCTTTAATGTGAGCACTTATTACATACATTTATAACTTAGCCAGCACTCTGTTTATTACTATTCCTCCACATCCTCCCTCCATGACGATGCTTCAGATCTCTGGGTATCAATATTGACTTAGACCCTGTGTCCAATGGCCTACCCCAAAATATTTGGTTAGTCCCTTTTCTTCAGTGTATAGTTACCTGAGTAAAAGGCCATAATTTGGGTGCAGGTCTGGGGGAATGTTACAGTCTGTACTTGGCTATTTTGCAAGGATCTTACTCCTGGGGACCTAACCTCTTCATTTGGTGTGCTCTGGGTTGGAAAACTGACTCAGGTCATTGAGCCATGAGGTCATGGCTTTTTAAATTAGGACAACTGCCCTCAGCATCTCTGTCTTCCATCATTGATATTCTGATGATAAATGCTGAATAGTATCACTGTTGGCTTCCTGCCTATGTTTCCTGAAAAGTGCTGTGTTTTATTAGCCATATCCATATCTGGGTTCAGTCTCCTTGGCTGCCATTCTAGTCCTGCATGTTGTGATAATGGTGTCCACCTGGCCTTTATGGTTGGGAGGGTGTAGAATTTTATCTCCATTGCTATCAGCAAAACCTAGTTCTACAACAGCCTTAGCTATTCTCAGCCCTGCCTTGCAGAAGAGCCAGCACTGAACTTTGTACTTAACCAAGTGATCAAGTGTAATATCACCAGTGATAACCTGTGGATATTTTATACCCCATATATGTGATGAGGGCATTTTACCACTGTATTTTTCCTCAAAACCCATAATCCCAGTGTAATCATGAGGAAAACAGACAAACCAAATAGAGGGACATTGTACAGAATGCCTGACCAATTCTCTGAAAGTTTCATAGTCGTGAAAAACAAAAGATAAACAATTACAAATTAGAGGAGACTTAGAAAACAAATGCAATGTGAAATTCTACAACAATAAGACATCACTGGAAACATTAGTGAAGTCTGTTCATTCTAATATACCAGTGAATTTTCTTAGTTTTGACAAAGGTGCAATGTTGATATAAGATGTTAACATTAGAAGAAACTGGGTAAAAAGCATAAGGGATTCTTTAAGGCACCACCTTTGCAATTTAATAAAGGGTTTATTTCATAATTATTGAAGCATAAAGTCACAACAAATGCAGGAGCCAACAGCAATAACTTTCTCAACCCCCAGATAACTTCTTCAAATCTACAGTCTTTTCTCTAGAAAAAGTAAAATAGAAGTTCCATAGACTGGGAAACACCAGGAACAGTTTAGGGTGGGACACAGTACTGAAAAGGAGTGTGCCAGTTATACAATTTATTGCCTCATCTCTAAATCCACTCTTCATTGCTATTATAGGCTGATTTGTGTCCCTTCAGATTTCATATGTTAAAGTCATAATTCCTAGGAACTTTCTTGGAGAGAGGGTCTTTTCAGAGATAATCGAGTTGAAGGTAATCAGGGTGGCCCTAATCTAATATGACTAGTATCTTTATCAGAGAGATTATGACAGACAGGGAAAATGGTCATCTATAAGCCATAAACAGGCCTGATCCTTCCCTTACAGCCCTCAGAAGGAACCGACCCTGCCAATACCCTGATTTTGGACATAGTTCTAGCCTCTAGAACTATGAGATCATAAATTGCTATTAAGTCACCCAGACTCTGGTACTTCATTATGGCAACCCTAGTAAACGAATACAATTGCCTACACTGTGCATTTGTCCTTGCTTACCTCTGGCATGCTTCATTTTGCTTGTTACTACCATCCAATTATCGATGGTGTATGGATAGGGGTGGGGACATCTGCTGGCATTCAGCCCCAATGTATATAGGCACATAGTTCACAGCTCTGGCCCTAGTCCTGTGACTATCTCTGGCTGGCAAGTGGGCTCCCAAAGTTCTGTTTCCCTGGGTAAGCCTGCCCTTCAGCCTTGTGGAGAGGTACTTCCTGCCCACCTGTCTTCTGGAAAGGTATATCATCCCACCTGTATCCCAATGAGGTATTTTCTTCCCAGTACCTGCCATGGCTCCCTGCTGCCTCAGCCTGACAGCACCTTCTGCTTGCCTGGGCACTGTCAGAACCTCTAATCCAGGCAATCTAGCAAACTTCACCACCCAGTAGCTGTAGCCACATCTTTGCCAACAAGATCTGAGTCCTAGACACATGTTGAGGAACCGCCTTCTAAGCTTGTGCCACCCTTGGGTACTGTCCCTTAGCCATAGAACATTCTTTAAAGTTCTCTGTACCCATTTATAGTTAATCCTTGGACCTTGACTGATAACAGAGAATAATATGAAAGTTTATAATCAGAATTTTTAGAATCTCTGCCCTTTTCCCTCACTTGGCTACCTGAATGCTGGCAGCCAGGCTTATTATGGTCTCCAACTGACAAATTAGAAGCTTCTGTGAAAATTGACATCTGACACTGGGGAGTATCTGCCAATGAAGCAGTACAGCTTCAGAAAAGCCACAGTCACCAACTTATCCTCATATGAACCAATTGCTTTCATTCAGCTTCATGTTTCCATTTTAAATAGGGACAAACTAGCAAGGATCACCAGGCATTTGAGGAAGAGTTTAAGATGAAAGGATTAAAAAAGAAGAAAAATAACTGGAAGAAAGTGGTACCATGAAGAAAGAATAAAATGTTTTGAAGAGCTACTACTAATATTCTTAGGCTTTGAAATAGTTAAAAGGTTTGTCTCCATTAAAAAAATAAAACAGGGAGATCCAAGATGGCAGCAGATTAGATGGAAGTTACCTCCTCCCAGGATGAAACTGGAATTACAACTGAATTACAGAAAAATCATTCAGAATAACCAATCGAAGACTAGCTGGAGAAAAACCTTATAACCAAGGATTTACAGAAGAAGCCACATCAAGTTTGGTTTGGAATGAAGAGT